TTTCCACAGAATCATAACCTTCCAGATTTGGGGTATCCTAACTTGTTGGCTTTCCTGTTAGGTTTTTATCTGTATCTCTGGTGCCATTGTTTTCAGCTTTTGTTTTGGTAGGTTAAGGTTTCACAGATCAATATAAGCTTCAATGTAGTTCTCTGAAGAAGTTTTTATTTTTCTCATAACCAAATACCTCCTGGCACAGTTTATATTCACAAGCTAACTTTGCCTTTTGTTTCCAATAGGTCCCCGATTATCCTCCCAACTATATCCTATTCCTTAACAATTTACCAGAAGAGACAAATGAGATGATGTTATCCATGCTGTTCAATCAGTAAGTTCTTTACTAAACAGATCTGTTTGCAGGAGCCTTCTAACAGGACAAATAGTACTTCTATGGACTGAGTTCATTTGTCACCCCACAGCAGTAGTTCTCTGTAGGGTCATTGATTTAGTCTGAGACTAATCATGGATTGAAACTAGTCTCTAAGCTTAGCAAATAAAAGAATAGATTTCCTCTGTTGGAGTTATTCTAATAAATGGGTAAAGCAGGAAACAAACTTTGACATACTGGCAGATGTGGCATTAGTGTCGACTCTTGCAGTCCCTTGATGGTAAAATTTTATGTCAGGTGCCTCCATCCTACTTGGAATTCTTGATTCAATGTGATTAGTTTTCTTAGGCCATAGCAAGTTGTTTGACAAATTTATTCATACATTTGCCTGTGTTTATTGCTTTTGTTTTTTTCTAGGTTCCCTGGTTTCAAGGAAGTTCGCTTGGTACCTGGGAGACATGACATTGCATTTGTAGAATTTGAAAATGATGGGCAGGCCGGAGCTGCCAGAGATGCTTTACAAGGGTTTAAGATCACACCATCCCATGCTATGAAGATTACCTATGCCAAGAAATAACGTTTGGATTAGCCAGTTTGAAAGGACTTGGTATTATTTATAGTGTTTGTTTTGATAACATCTGGTCAGGTCATTTTAGTGGTTGGAAGTGAAAGTGAAGTTGGGGAAGCGGCACCTAATTTCTTTTTAGTTTTGGTGAACTGTGAATTCTGAAGCCTTAATTTTGTACAATAAACTTTTATTTGTATTCTGTGTACTCAGCACTGTTTACTGGTCTGTTGTTCAGCCATCAAATGCTTATTTCAGTATAGAGCACATCTGACGCTGTAAAACTCCAGTGGAGCCAAGGGGTGAGTCTGGTTGAGTCCCCATCTGAAAGAGCCATGGGAAGTGTGTGAGGAGATGAGGTGAAAGGTGTCCCTTACTTTTCCTGAGTCATCTGACTTTGGATGGGCATCCATCCACCAGGACGTTTGAATTTATTGAACCTGTATTTCACCCTATGCCCGATGATGAGGGAAGTGAGCCTGGGATGCAGTCCGTGAGGCTGGACACTTTACCAGCTGTTGATTTAGTGTAATGGTGACTGAAGCCAGGAATTTGCGCATGCTAGGCAAGAGCCCAGCCCTGTCTCTGTTTTTGAGACAGGCTCTCAAAGGGTGAGCAAATGAGCAGTGAGCAGCACCCTATACACTAGTAGTAGATCAAACTGTTGGCCTAGCCTGGGGACTCTCCCTAAAGGACTCAGGTAGAGCTGGGTCCTAAAGAACAAAGCAGGAATAACTTAAAGAGGAAAGAAAAGAAAAAAATAAAAGGGAAAGAAATCTCAAGATAATGTAGACACTTAATACTGAAGAGTGAGACATCTGTGGGTAACAGAGGTCTGTAAGCTGTTTGACCTAATCATCAGGGCCAGTGTGCATCAGAGGGATGCTGTTGGGAGAATATTCCTTCACTGTCTTCTTGATGGGAAGAATTCACTGGTGAGACATCGTTTAACATATGTTTATTTAGCAAAGCAAAACAGAAGAAAGCATGTAAGGTGGTAGTAGACTGAGATCGGTCCTTGATGCCTTAGCATCTGATCTGGGCAGCAGTCTAACCCAAGGGGCAGCCACTAAGTCACAGCTGCAGCTTCCTTGCTCCCCTCACACCTAACTCCATGCCTATCCAATTTCAACTCCACGTGCTACAGCCTGTCCTTATACTTGAAAGCAGCCACAGGCTGCTTTTGAGAATGACAGGCTGAACATGTAAAGAAGAAAGGACTGGAGCACATAGCTGAAAATCCAGAAAAAAAGAGGCAAATGGACTCTGGTGAGAACTCTCTGGCTTTTCCCAGTGACTGCAGTGTCTTGAACAAGGCATTAGGCACAGTTGCTTGAGTCTAAGTTGTCATAAATCTAATTATATTTGCCTACTGCAAATACTAGAATAACCTGGAAAGGCTTGGCATCACCTTTGTTTGTTTACCTTCACAAGAGCAATTCAAATGTTACATTAGCCTTAGCTATTATTCATGATAGCTTGGGGCAATTTACTTCCACTCTTCTGTGGAGGCTGTGCACGGCAGGCATGGCAGTCGTGAGTTTATTGAAGTAGCTGTTTCTTTAAGTAGCTCTAAAATGGCAGTTGTCTTTTAGCATGTTGGCAGCAAGTTTGGGACTGGAGCAGTCTGAAGACAGCTGTCCAGTCAGAACCAGAGTTAAATCATTGTTTGCATTTCCCCACAGATGCTCTTAGATTAAAGGAAGAAAATAAAACAAAACTCACCCTGCTATTCCACTTTCCAAGGTTCACCCTCTCCTTGTTGGGAAGCATGAAAGACGATTGAAAAGCCATTTTTAACTTGACATTGACAAGAGACAGTAGCAGGGGATCTTAATCCCTGTGGGTGACCCATGTGTAGGAAGGTCAGCGAAGGGCACTTTGGCTCTTGTGAGCTTTATTTTTATCATCTCTAATAAAGATACTGAACAAAAGAGTCTTCCAAATCAGACAAACTGTATACAGGATCCTCCCCTGAAATCACGACATGCCCTAGAAGCCTTTATACAAGCACAAACAAAACAGTAAAACTATTGTGCACACGTACTTCTACCTATGCATAAAGCTACCCCAAATAAGAAAACTTATTTTGTATTACCAATTTGTCCCTTGGAAAAGTATTCTACACCAAATAACTTAATAACTTAAATTGTTGTCCCTCATATTGGATCTCTGAAGCCACTTGGTCAGTCAAGTTGGAGAGGACAGATTGACAGCAAGCTCTAGTCAAGAAACAGGTGGGGAATGGATGTTCACCATATCATAAAGATGCCCATTCCAAGTCCCTAGAAAAAGCACAAAACAAAACAAAAAGCTGGGTGGTGGTGGTGCCTGCCTTAATCCCAGCACTTGGGAGGCAGAGGCAGAGGCAGGCAGATATGTGTGAGTTTGAGACCAGCCTGGTCTACAAAGTGAGTGCCAGAACAGGCTCCAAATCTACGCAGAGAACCCCTGTTTCAAAAAACAAAACAAAAACAAACAAAGCAGCTACATACTGTCTGTCTCCCCTGACAAATGGTAAACTTTGGACCAAGGCTGACTTTCATTCAGTGTTAGATCCCACATGTAAAAAGCATTACTTGGCATAGAGTAGATGCTTAGCAAATCTTTACTAAACAAAGCATTGTATTGATGACTTCTAAAATGTTCCTGAAAAGGTTACCAGCACAGGTTATCTTAGCAGTTGGGAGCCAAGGAATAGCACAAAGTCACACCATGCAACAACCTTCACACAAGAGATTCATTGAGGAGAAACAGAAAGGTAGCTGTCTCTGAGTGGGAAGAGAGACAGCAGCAGGCTTGGGGGAAAGGGTGGGCATTATAGGGCTTTTGAAGCAGTAAGATGGCAGAAGAGTACATCGTGACCTGAAGTATTGCTTGGTCGTTAACCATGACAGGTACGTATGTCATAGGCGTGCCTAAAAGGGATCACACGGCCTCACTGACTGTTTTTTCTGTATCTTCCGTTTCCTTGCCATAAGGTAAGTGCTGTTTTCTGCTACTGGCTTTCATCAAGATATGCCACAGACCCAAACCAATGGGAGCAGGGATTGTGGACTTAAACTTCCTGACATGTAACTCAAAAATGAACAAACTGTTTATCAGCTGATTGTCTGAAGCATGTGTTGTAGAGAGGGAAAGTTAATGTACGTAGGAATAAAGAAGGAGTTGCTGTCATTTCCTTGTCCACTTATCTCTTGCTTCCACACTGGTAGGATCTGGCTGGGGCATGCTATATAACCCACCAGTGGCTCCGGCCAAACATGATTTCTAAGAAACCTATCACAAAAGATTCGTATAATATTGCTTTATATATTATGTAAATCTAGAACTGTATTAGTATTACTCAAAATACATCTTATACACAAGACATTTTTACTTTTTAAAATACATATGTGTGTGGCATTGTGTGTGTGTGTGTGTGTGTGTGTGTGTTTACCTGTGTGTGGATGCATATGTGTTCCTGAGGAGGCCTGAAGTTGATATTGGGTGCCTTCTTCAATTTTTCTCCACTTTACTTATTGAGATTCTTGTTGAACCCAGAGCTCGTTGATTCCAATTGGTCTAGCCAGCAGCTTGCCTCCAGGATGTCTACGTCTGTCTCTAGAGTGCTAGAATAATAAACGGGCTACCATGCCTGCTCAGTATTTGTGTGGTCTCTGGGGTTCTGTACCATTTTCTTCAGACTTAGATAGCAAGTCCTTCATCCACTGAGCTGTCTTGCCAGCCTGTTTTACATCTTAAACAGGTTTCTGCCTTCAACAAATGTTTGTTCATAAACTGAAAGGATAGGGAGAGGGCAAAACAGAAAAACCAGCAGTGGTTGGCATTCTCACAGTCCTCCCAACAGTACTGATGGTGGACAATACAGTCACGGCAAATGCGACTTTAACGTTGGTGTACCATGTGTGTGGAACAAGACATGGAATTTGACTCTTCCTGGAAAATGAAATGCTAAAATGCCTCTGGAATCCAGGAGCACACATTATGAAAGAAAGGGTGGGGGATGGCCCCTTCCTATTGGCTGGGTGCTTGCCCAGAGGTCTGGTTTTCAAATAAAAGAACCCCTGAAGTTAGGCAAAGAGTGCTAGTCAAAACAGCGAAAGGAAGATGGCAAGAATATTGGTTCTTTTGCTTGGGGGTCTTGTGGCTCTGTGTGCCGGGCATGGAGTATTTATGGATAAACTTTCTTCTAAGAAGTTGTGTGCAGATGAGGAGTGTGTCTGTAAGGAGTTGTTAACGGTTCAGTTTTCATTATTTTCCTATCATATAATCAAAAATATATCTGGCATAAAGCCAGATTATATTTTGTAGTGAATCTAAATTTGTGTGTGTGTGTGTGTGTGTGTGTGTGTGTGTGTGTTCCCAGCACTGTGTCTTGTTTTCTGTCTTTAGTGTCTAACTGTGGAGAATTCACTTGCCTAAGATTTTTTGCAGTTTTTTAATATTCTGGCTTTCTCTCTCTGTTTGAAACCTAGCTGGAATTTCATACTTTTCTTATATGCTTTGCTTTTTTACTCTTAGGACACCAAGTCACTTCTTTTTGTTTTTTCTTCCAGATACCATTTCTCTTGCTAAAGCACAGGAAGATTACAATGCCCCAGATTGTAGGTTCATCAATGTCAAGAAAGGGCAGCAGATCTATGTTTATTCCAAGCTGGTGAAAGAAAATGGAGCCGGAGAGTTTTGGGCTGGCAGTGTAAGATGAGACTCTTTTTCTTAACATATATATTTCTTATTTATGTTGCTCTTAGTTTTTCCTGGCTTCCTATCTTCAACCCCTTCAATGCCTAATAGTATCTGTAAAGACAATGTGGGAGTGTAAATTAAAACACAAAAATTCAAATTAATTTTCTGCCATTGTATTTTTTAAAAAATCTCATAACAAAGTTGAAGGTTAAGTCAAAATGATGTTTTGAGAAGCAAAAAACCATGCATATTGATGCTTCTACATAGAGCAGAATTCAGACTCATTCAAAAAATGTCAGAGCATTTGCCTAGAGGAGGATTGTGTGTTAGTGGTCTGTCTAAACGGGAATGTTTCTTCAGGAAAAGTCAGAATCCTCTGATTCTTCAGAAGCTGCTGTCTTGAATTAAAATGTACCCACAGACTGAGAAGAGCCTATGGAGGGATGAAGCATGGTTGATGTGATCCCAAGGATGCATTCTAAATTGATGAAGTATTCAACCAGAATGTGTTCAATGTATGTCCCTTTGGATTGCTGAGAAGAGGGAAATATACATACTTTAAATTGAGTGTCTATTTGCTTTAAACTTTTTATTGACCTTAATTTTTTATAGAGTCTGGAAAATCCCAGGCAAGTCTTGAGACTGCATAAAGTGAAGTAATGATAAAATAGTGAGAGAAGTCAGACATGACCCTAAAAGAACAGACATACACAACTCCTGGTGTTGCCGGTGAATTTAAGATTTACTCTGAATTCTCTGGAATGCACAGCGAAAGGAAAGCTCTGGCTCGTGTAATTTTCATTGTGAAGAAAGAAATTTCTCAACCCCCCCCTGACATCAGCTTTGTTCTGGGCACACAGGTTTACGGTGACCACCAGGATGAGATGGGAATCGTGGGTTATTTCCCCAGCAAGTTGGTTAAAGAGCAGCGAGTATACCAGGAGGCCACCAAGGAAGTCCCAACCACGGTAAGCATCTTAGGGGTGGTTGGAGGATGACTCAAATCTTAGGATAATGTAGGCTTGTTCTAAAAGAAGAGTATGTCCTTCAAATTACAGTATATGCTGAATAAAATGGGTACCAGAGGTGACATTTAAAAAGTACATATTGACCAATCTTGTGAGGTTGGCACACTTTCTTCACACATTGCAGTCGCTCTGAGCTTATTTTTAAATGTTTTCACTTTTTAAAGCTGCATTTTGTCTTTGCCAGGGATATAATTGAGTAGGGAAATTGCATATTGAATATGTACTACTTAATGTTTTGATGTATACACATATCATGAAGTGACCATCCCACCCGAGCTGATTCACAATTCACACCTGCACCTCATATAGTTACTCCCCCTCTCTCCTCGAGTGTGTGTGTGTGTGTGTGTGTGAGAGAGAGAGAGAGAGAGAGAGACAGACAGACAGACAGACAGAGATGGAGAGAGACAGAGACAGAGAGACTGCAAAAGAGACTGACCTAGCACATTTCAAGCATACAACACAATTCTCTTTCTGTTTTAAATGTAAGTTATCCTGGAAGGCATTTCTGGCATAGAGAAAGGAACTAAAAAACTACTAAGCTGTTCTTCCTGGTGGTTTTATGAAAGGTAGATTTATTTATGGAAGGTAGACAAATTAACACCTGTTTTTGAGAAGATCAAAATATTCTAGAAAAGTCTTTAAGTCTTATCTTAGTGGCAGATAGACTCCACTTACGTGAAATAAAATCCTGCTCTTTCTACTGCCCTGGGGCCCTGTAAACTGTAGCAGGGGAAAAAATAGAAAAACCAAAAAAACAAACACAACCCTGTGCCAGTAAAGAAAAGATCCTTTCTGAGCTCCTTTGCAATAGGGTTGTTTTGAAGTGAGTCTCCAAGCTGAGGGTTGTACTTCAAACAACACCCAGCCTAACAGAGGCGGCTCACCTGTCATTGCATGGTAGCACTGTGCCCCATCTGTCAAGTAACTACAGACTAGAGGTGCGTTTGAAGACCTTCATTTTAAAAGTTATTTGACTTCAAGAGAAGGTTTCAACCTTGACTCATCATAAATCCAAATCTCTCTATTATTAAGTCTTATTTTAAATTAAAAATCTACACCTGCTTGTTTTTTTGTCCAGCCTGAAAGTTCAATCTTTTTCCCTCCCAGGATATCGACTTCTTCTGTGAATAAGAAATTAGTTAAAACTTGTGATAAAATGGAAACACCAGCGATGAAGACAAGAAATGGGAATAACCAAAATGGCTTTGTTTGGTGACAGGAGTTCTAATCTCGAAGGAGCCAGTATCTGGGAATTGTCAAGTCAGTCTTGTTTTCCTGCCCTGCTCTTCCCTCAGGAGGCCACAGAGTGCTGTTTGAGTCACATAAGTCATTTATCAGCAAAGACTTAATGTGCAGTGAAGGGAATCTTCAATAGCTCAGTGATACACACACGAGGTGTTTTATTTGTAGTTATTTTTAGATGGTCATTCTTCTCAGCTCTAGCTTCAGGTTCATAAACTTGGTGAGTTGTAAGTCTGACTTTTGAACAAACGTGCTTTCTGTTATTTTTCTCTCTGGTCATTTAAGGTCTTAATAATGTACTTGTCAGGATATTCTAGAATTGTTACTTCTTATATTTTCTGTCCTTGGATGTAAGGATGTTAGGTATAAAAAGAGTTTTTGGATTCATAAATATCTGAACTGTGTCTCTGGATTTTTCTTTTAAAAATATTTCACATGTTATTTCAGTGGGGATAACTTTATATTCTAAAAGACCAATTTATGTTTCCTCGCATTTAAATTGATCTCTGTGTTTGTACTGGGGTGGCAATCTTTGGAAGCTCATTTGTGGGACAGTTTCCTTTTTGCTCTGTTGCCTGACTGGATCTTTTTCAAGCCTTGAGTCATCAAAAGGAATACAAGTGTGAAGACCTTTTCCCTGGCTTCTTTCTCTGCTTTCACTTCCTGTTTCTGGACAAATCCCTCCAAACAAGTATAACACACTAAGGAGATACCTTGGAGTGTTACTCAGTATCCAAGTGCCCCCTTTTATAAGTGAAAAACTAAATTCCCTATGCCTGTGACACTCCACACCAGAAAGCAGAAACAGGAATTGAATTTTTATTCCGAGAGTCAGAAATTTGGGAAGACAGAGTCAATGTCCCCCGGTCTGCCTCTCTCTCCCAATCTACAGCTGTAGCTGGTGGTGAACCCCTGCAGAGTTCGGTCTTATCTCTCCGGTGTGGGGTGAGCCTTGCCTCAGAGATTCAGTGTTGGTGAGTCTGCCCCTATTGTCCCCATATTCCCGCTCACTGTCATCTCTCTGTGCAGCAGTCCTTCTGCCCCCGAAAGCCACTGAGCTTGCACGGAAGCACCACCCGGGTCATGTGTCTAGATTAAAGGCCAACTCCCATCAAACCAGCTGTTAGTATTGTGTGCCTGCTAGTTACAGCGTGGACACGCAGATTCCTTTCTACAAGAACTACCCCATGTGCTGCTGTAAAACACGCGAGTGTCCCTATCTTTCCCACCACCTTTGCAGGTTCCCGGTCTCACAGGTGAAAAACGACTTTAAATGGACGCAGAAGAAAACTCCTGGCAGCTTCTGGGAGGAAGGAGTGAATAAGAGAAAGAGAGGAAGCCATGCTCTCTGACGTAGTGATCTCTCCTCAGCTGCTACAGAGGACTCGGGTGCCCTTTGGAGAATGGGAATGTCCAGCATGCCAGGGCAAGGGGGCTTAGGATTTGGGGAAGTCGTTGAAAAAAGAGATAGAAAGTGAAGGAAGGGAAGATTGTGTTTTTTGAATTAGAACTCAGACAACAGGGTAAATTGTGAGGATCTTTAAGCAATGCATGGAGAGAAGGACATCTAGGGTATATAGCTCATTAAGGGGATAGTTTCCCCTCCAATTTTCTTAATGTGTCCTTGGGTAAAACAGACAGTTTCCTTGAATGGTGATTTTCTGGTAAGGTGATTGACAGTTCTAAGCACACATATGTTCTTGTCATTTCTCATGCCCTCATACCACACACTGCCAACAAACACCAACTGAAACTGTAGTCAGATCTGAGACTACAGACTCTGACTTGTGGTGTTTCTGTTCTACACAAAGCTGCCTGCTCTTATAGAGGCAAGGTGATTTTTTTTGTTTTTTGGTTTTTTTTTTTTTTCGTTTTACGAGACAGGGTTTCTCTGTATTGTTTTGGAGGCTGTCAGTCCAGCCTGGCCTTGAACTCACAGAGATCCTCCTGCCTCTGCCTCCCAAGTGCTGGGATTAAAGGCGTGTGCTACCACCGCCCAGCTCAAAGGCAAGGTGTTAATTCTGGAAAGTGGATTTCCAGTATTTCCTACCATCAGTCATTGGCATGCATCACATCAGGGTATTTTTGGGTTGCATTGTTTTAGAATATTTGACTTGAAAGACTACTGTTGGAGTTTCTGACTCCAGTTTCACAAAATATGTTTAGTTAATTTTGGTTTGTGACTAGGGCAGAATTTGAAACAATTTCTGAAATAGCCCTAAACAGGCTTGTGCCATTTGTTTTTTGTTTGTTTGTTTGTTTTTGTTTTTTTTTTCGGTTTTACGAGACAGGGTTTCTCTGTATTGTTTTGGAGGCTGTCAGTCCAGCCTGTCCTTGAACTCACAGAGATCCACCTGCCTCTGCCTCCCGAGTGCTGGGCTTAAAGGCGTGCGCCACCACCGCCCGGCCGGCTTGTGCCATTTGTACTGCATATATTTATATGAACTTGAACTCTCAGCACTGACAAATAGAAATGTAAATATTGGTCACCTCTGAAAAATATTACAACGCTTTCATAGTGCCAAATATGTCAACAACATTTTTTAAAAACATCATTTTTTTTTTAGTTTTGTTAAGAGAGAAAGAGAGAGAGGGAGGGAGGAGGAGGGAGGAAGGGAGAAAGAGAGGGGCATTAGAATGCATGCAAAGGTACATACGTGAAGGTCAGAAGACAATCCCAGGAGTCAATTCTCTCCTGCTACCTTGTGGGATCTCAGTCTAGAACTCAGGTCATCAGGCTTGCATGCCAGTGCCTTTACCAACTGAGCTTTGCCACCAGCTCAAGAGATTTCTTCATGTAAAAATAAATAAGCATAGCTACCTCAATCAAAGCATATTATGTTTGGTATGATTTTTGTCTTTAATACATAGTGATTTTTATGCCTACCAAAGAATTGTTTTAATATGATTCATTATCACTAGATGTTTGATTTGTATACGTGCTTTACATATGCATAAACTCAATATTGTGTAAAGGGGGTTGTGAGTGAAAAAAAAATCTAAGATGTCCTGAAAATAATTACAATGAAGTTTCAGAAAAAGATCAAAGTCAAGAGGAGTCGGTGCACTATACAGCATCTATGCAATAAAATAGATTTCTTAGAAATCTGTGGTTGGTTATGAGGACCTGAGTTTGGTCCCCAGAACTCAGGTGTAAAAACAAACAAATAAAACAAAACACAAGTATGATGGAGTACACTTGAAATCGCAGAGGTAGAGACAGGTGGATGGATCCCTGAGGGTCACTGTTTAGCTAGCTAGCTGGGACTAATCAAAGAGCCCTACATCCCTGTGAGACCCCCTGTCTCAGACAACAAACTTGACATTCCAAGTTGACCTCTGCCCTCTGGGTGCACACGACTACCTGTGCACTCACCACCTACTTGATACCAAATTTGTCAAGTAGTTTGGTGGTTAGAAAAGCTGGTGATGAGTAGAAAGCCCAGGCTATGGTGGCGATTTGAAGTAATGTTTACTGCCACCTCCTGGCCATGCATTCATGGATAAAGGTTCAAATTTAAACCTCTGTTTTCTTGACTTCACACAGGCTAGCATCATCTCCATGGCTGGATCAACTATAACTTGCATGCATGATCCAGATGCCGGAGAGTCTTTAAGTGAGAGTGGTGTTCAGGCTTCTGTCATTGCTGTCATTGGTGTAACAATTATCTTGTTTCCCAATTCATTCATCCTCAATGTGGGAATAACAATGTTTTGCAAGCAATCATAATTCACTTTGAGCATAATTATGAAAATTGAGGGAGATGAGACATTCTGTAGAAAACCACTCCACACAGTACGCAATACATATTAGATACAAATAAAAAGTGAAACATTTGAGGAAGCAGTGTTCTTGGTTTTTTTTTAAGTGAATTAATCTTAAAGATATTTTCTTTCCAGATACCCATGCTTTGCTGCTTAGATTTTCCTGAAGTTGTCTGTATGGAATGTTGCAAATAATTGAGATACTGTATGCACACAAACATTATTCTTAATGTCTGTGATAATATATATATATATTTGCCTTTTCAGGGAAATATCAGATGTTCTAATAATAAAAGTTTTTTGTTTGTTTTGTTCTCTCTCTCTCTCTCTCTCTCTCTCTCTCTCTCTCTCTCTCTGTGTATGTGTGTGTGTGTGTGTGTAGGGTAAATAAACTAGGGAGGTACAATGTAGTAAAAATTGTAGTATACCTATTCTTGGGTTCTCAAATAAAGCTACAATAGAAGCAAGCAAGCAAACAAACAAACAAACCCTCCTACCTCTCCCCGCTCCCTCATATCTAGTCACTGGGGATGCCACTTTACTTTGGCATTTCTTTGAGTTTTTGTCTTTTGTGTTGTGGGTAAATAAGTGGCCAAGGGTCCTTCTGAAGACCAGTCTTCCGATCCTGTGGAAACTAATAACATGAACCTAACTGATGAGTCCATTGATAAACAGTTTCATCTCTCATTCTCAAAAACGTTTTTGGCCATTTCCTGAGAATGAGCAAATGTAAAAAAAATGTTTTAAAAAAGGAAATTTAAGGCAATTTTTGCTGTTGTTGTTTGTTTGCTAAAAGCATCCTAGGTCATTCCTGTAGACTTAACAGCATATTCCTGATATTGTAGTATGTCTTTTTGTAGAAGTTGTTTTTCTTAGTGCCAGGGGCTCAGTGGAAGACTTCATGCTCAGCATGTATAAGGCCTTGGTTTCAAAATTAGTTACACACACTCACACACTCACACACACACACATTCACACGCGTGTACGCCAGAGGAAGGAGGAAGGAGAAAGAAAGAAATAAAGTATCGAACAACAAACAAACAAGCCATGCCTCTTGTTCAGGAGACCGGTGGTTGGGACAGTTGCTTTTGCTTCTGTAAAACTGTCTGAGGTAAATCACAGATCAGAATTTAAAAATTTTAAAGTCCGTCAGATTTTAAAATCAGAGGCCTGTCCTTCAACTTTCTGACCATGAATTCATGAGACCCCATCCAAACCAGGCCTACCTAGTAAGGGTTTCTCAGACTTGCAGTGTGGAGTTACAAAGGACAATAACTATATGAATTAACTGTCAGAGTTAACAATTCTTTTGTTTGTTTTTTCGAGACAGGGTTTCTCTGTATTGTTTTGGTGGCTGTCTAAGAACTCACTCTGTAGACCAGGCTGGCCTCGAACTCACAGAGATCTGCCTGTCTCTGCCTTCTGTGTGCTGGGATTAAAGGCATGTGCCACCAATGCCTGACTCAGAGTTAACAATTTAAATGCCGATTTCTAGCTGGGAATGGTAATCTTAATACTCAAGAGGGAGGCTGAAGCAGGAAAATTGTGAATTCAAGGTCAGGCTGGGCTACACAGTGAGTTCCTGGCTACCCTGAACTATAGTATGCAGCCATATTTTTATTTTAAAAATTCAC